ATTTTATCACATGCTTTGAGAGGCCTTTCCACCATCAAGATCATATTACCTTCACATATATATTCTTTTTGCATTTTTACGGCACTTTTAGGTTCCACGTTTACATTTCTTATCCATCAGGAATCACTTTTTCTTCAGGTTTTATTAAATGGCTGGCTGTCACAAAATCATTTACCAACGAAATCCATCATGTTTCAACTGTCTAAAATTCCACCTTTATCTTAGACTATATATAATAACTGAGTCTGCTTCTAGACTTTGCTCTTGCAAAAAACAAAAACAAAAACAAAACATTGGCAACACAGATAGCCTGTGAAGGGAACTGGATAGCTGGAGATGGGCAGTAAAAGACTATCTTCATTGTTTACCCTTGTGAATTTTATTTCATGTGCTTTGAATTACCACTCAAAAACATCAATAAAATATTTTTTAAGGTCTGCTTAATATACCTGGTGGAATTATCAAATATTTCAGCTTTCTGCAAATTACACCACAAGCCCTGTATGCACCTGAACAATACTTGAAATCATGGATCTACCTCAATTTCAAAACAGGGAACTATGATTTAATCTATTCTATTTTAAATGAATAGCGAATGTGACCCAAATATGACTTTCTCTGACATATTTGTATTTGTGTATATGTGTTTCTCTGCCATTTCACACGGTCAAACAAATGACCTGAAGGGGAAAAAAGTTCTGTATAAATCCTTAATTATCGTAAGTAAAGCTACTACTTCAAATGTATAAGAACTTCAGATATTGTCAATTCCTAACTATGAGTGTTCCCTAGATCCAGCCATCACAGACATATTTTGCTTTCATCTTCTTCAGAATCTAATCTTTCCATTCTCCTGCAATCTGATTATTGTATTTTGAATATTACTTTTCTTTACAATTTTATTTCAATGTCGGATGGCAAACTTGACCTCTGTAGTCACCATAATAGTATGGTATGGCGAACTGGCTAAAATAAAAAGAAATACTCATCTAGCAGGAGATGGAAAAAGAACAGGTTCACCTTTTAAGTCATTCTCTTTAGGATCCTCTCCCTCACACTAATTTCTAAATAACTATTAAGGTAGACTCATTTAATTTTAGCCTGCCTCCAAATAAAAAATATTTTCAAGCACTTGAAAATACTCCTCCAGTACGAAGGGGAAAGCGACCTAGTATTTAGTACCACTGGCATACTCATTAACAAATACACAAATTAGATACTATCTCTGTACCGTGTAATTCTGCTCTCAGTACCTGCTCTCCTAGGTACTTTCCTACTCTTTTTTTTCCTAATAAATGAACTTTAACATGTACAAGATGCACAGTCTACATATCTAAGTGAAGATGTAGAATACTAAGTGAAGATGTAGAAGAAAAAGCAATTCTTTTAAGAGTCTCTAATTCGTTTTAAGTTTTAAAACCCCTTGCATTTGATAACATTATCAACCCTATTTAAAAGGAAACAGACTGACTTACCAAACATCACATTATCGAGAGCAGAAATAGGTCTGATAGAAGGTCCTTTGCCCTAAATATGCTGCTTCCCACCATGTTAAATTCAATATCCACAGAAAAGTGTCTTCACATAATACAATGAAGGAAGCACTCCACAGCACAACAAATATTAGTGATATGTTAAAAAAAAAAAGAAAAGAAAAACATTTAGTAGAAATAATTTTTCTATTTTCTATACAAGCGATCTCAAATACGTCAAATGAGACAACACTTTAAAAGCTTCTAGGCCACAGGTAATATATTTCCTTTGCTCCCAAGTCTCTACAGCCTTGCCTCACAACATGAAGGACTTTTCAATGGCCACGTACTAGGAAGATCTCTACCATCCAAGATCCAGCCCAACACACAGAGATTAGAAACACCTACTCCTAAAATCTGGGAACTTTCTATAAGAGACTCCTCATCAGATGAATTTAGCCTAACAATTCTCAACCTTATCAAAATCAGTGTTTCCCCTCCATAAAATATTTTCCAACTTCTGCATTATCACCCTGAAATGAAATTAATAACAATCTTCCTTACAAACAACTTCAAACAAAGCCATATACCCTAAATATAAATGTAAAAGGAAAATGAAAATAATTTATAAGTATTTCAATGTTAATCCTGAAACAAAACTGAACTAGAAGACATATAAAAGTAATTAATATATGAATATGACAGCAAAATGGTTTGTAATGCAATTTTCCAAAACTGAAAACAACTCTTGGTCAAGTTGTGAACAAATCTTCCTTTCATACAACATTTGCATGTGGAAATAGACACTGTAAAGTTCAGTCTCAGTTAAAACCATTAGCTTATATGTAAAATGGAGTTTCTAGATTCCAATAATTATGAATGTTACACAAATGTCAGGCAGGATATTCCTAACCATATAGGACACGGGAACATTCTTTGTTCGGGATAGCCCCCACATTGCAAAAAGTATAACATCCCTAGTCCCCACCATTAAATGCTAGTGATTAGCCCCAATCACCACCAAACAAAAAAATTTGCCTCCCAACTTCCTCCAAGAGGGCACTCCCCATCTGGACCCACTTCCTTAGTCACAATTCGACTACCACAGTATAATGTCAAGAATGCGCAGGAAGCGTGGACTAGTTCCAGTTGTGTCACCTATGAGCTATATGGTCATTGGCAGTGAGCGCTCAAAACCTCAGTTTCCAGTATATCAAATGGGGATAAACACTACCTACGCTTTTTGGGTTGTAAAGGTTGATTCAACAACATGTGCTTAGCACAGAGCAGGTGGTTTCCAGCACATGGCATATTGAAATGTATAAAGAAGGAGGCTGTTCCAGATTGAGAACAAAAAGTGATATGAATATGGAAGAGTCTGAAGACAAAATAAGCATACAAAATGAAATGTAACACACAGCAGCCTAGGGACATTTTATAGAGCAGCCAACAGTCCTAGTATCTCTGCAACCCCTGAAGGCATATATTACAGTGAATGCAGTCAAATAATATTCAGAATGATGACCCCCATATTAAGAACACAAGAAACACATCTTTAAGAGACTTCTACAGTACATGGCTAAAATTTCATAAAGCTCCAATACTTAACAGAGTGTCTGTACTAACAAACTTTTCAAACTTTCCTTGGGCAATTATCCTATTCTACCAACTTGGAAAACACAAAGATATCTAATATACGATATCTGTCCTCAAACATTTTACCATCCAGTAAATTAGACATCAGTAAAACATAGCCATAATATAAAGCAGAATGAAATAGACATTAAATAGAAATTCAACTAAATTATGGGAGCCTAGGAAAAATTATGAATAATTTTCACTGGAGAAAATGAAGAACATCCTCATGCCATAGTAAAACAAAGATTCTGATAGGTAGAGAATGGAGAGTAAATCATTAAAGAAAAAAATGGAAGTGTGGGCAAAGGTGCTGGGCATGTAGATACAACTTGTTTCAGAGAAGAGAGCTAGGGAAAGGGTAGGGGTCCAAAAGGGTTGGGAAGGCAGTAAAAACTCAGGCTGTGACAACATCTCAGGACCTGTTCATGGATGGATTTAAATGCTATTCATAAGAGTTTGAATTTTATTGGGCAAGAGAGTTTTCCAGAAAACTGGTGCTTGTGTGACACACCTGATCCCCAAAGAATGCTGAATAGCCAAAAATAAAAGATTCCAAACAATTACAAATTTTCATTAACGAGATCCCTGAAACTAAAACATATATTCTTAATATGAGTAAATAACAAAAAGAACCTAACCCCAAAGTAGAAAGCAACGTCTGAGCTCAATTCTTAAGTAATAAAAATATTACTAAATTTATTGAACCTGGGAACTTAAAAGAACTCAGGATAATCTTATATACGCCCTTAATCTTCTTCCAAGCAGGTTGGAGAACTTCCTAAACATGTTATTTAGCAGTGCCTCATGTCACTCTGAAAGGCAAGAGGTAAGCTACAGTATTATTAGTCCCTTTTTACTATGGGGAAACCGAGGAACAAAAAGAATAAATTACATGGTCACAAAATAAGCTAATTTCTAGGACTTTAATTAAAGGCTTAAAGCCGACATTTCGTCCTTTATTCTTTGCACCATCTGAATATTAGAATTACCTTTTACTGTCCTCTGAACTGGGGAAAAAAGAAAAGACTAAATTTGAAATCAGTTTCTCAATTTGGTACTGCCACCAAAAAACTGTTTTTAAATCCTATCTCCTGAAATTATGCTATCAGCAAGAACTGCACTGAGTAAGCAGTAACCCAACCTCCCCCCAAAAAGGAAACTGTAAATAGCAGAGCGGGTCAGGAATCCCAGGCCCAGTTTTTACTTTGAATATTTGGCAGGCTCAGATGTGTGTTCGTAAAACAGGCTCTGCAGATGTCGTGACTGCAAAGGTGCTCTGAAAGGCCCAGAACAGTGATATGAATACACCCACTGCTGCGAACATGAAAACCAAAGCCACCCTCCTCTGCCCCCTCCCTGCACTGCACCACGCACCACGAGACTCCTAATATACACCGAGGCCTGTGCGAGAATCCTCCCGACGTTTCCCTTAAAATGCCGTACTTTGAGGATGCCCAGGACGCTGGGCCTCAGTGAACGGTGGAGACACCGGATATGGCTACACACATCTCAAAATCTTGCCTCCCCAGATTCTAGGGCCTGATCCAGAGGAGTCTATCGGCCACAAGAGTTCCTGCTATTTTTTCACACACACAATCACAACCCCTACCCACAAGTCCCCTGCTTCAGCCTCCCGCCATCCCCTCTTCCCTTCCACGCCAGGTGGGCGTCCCAGGGATGTAAAGAAAAGGAACGTGTAGGTTCGAGCGCAGGGGTCCGGGGCCACGAGGCTTTCCGGCGCCGGCCGGGGTCCAGACCGCCCAGCCCCCGGAGCACGGCCGCCCAGACCCGGCCTCGGCCGACGCGCCCCGCCGCCGCCACCGCCTATCAGCGGAGTGCAGGGGCGGGGCCGGCTGGCTCGGCGGCGGCTCGGCCGCGGGCGGGGACGGGCGGGGGACCGACCGCCGCGCAGCTCGGGCCGCAGCGCGCATACACCCGGCCCGGCTCCCGAGGGCGCCAGCGCGGCCCCGGGGAGTGCGAGGAGCCGGCGAGCACGCGGCCTGCCGTTGGCGGCCTGGTCCGCCACGCTCGGCGCCCACCCGCCCCCGAGGTGGGGTCCAAGCCCCCGGGAAGATGGTGTCCTGGATGATCTCCAGAGCCGTGGTGTAAGTGCAGCTCACGGCGCCCCGCCGCCCGCGCAAGTCCCGGGGAAGGCGTAGGGAGGGGCAGGGGCTAGGAGAGGGGAAGGCCCAGGCCTGGGCAGAGGTGGGCTGGGATGGGCTGGCCCGGCCTCGGGCCTGCCCGGGGGCTGGGGGCCCTCGGCCTCCTCACCCTGGTCCACGTCGCTGCGGGGCTCCCTGCGGCGGACGAAGGCCCGGCGGCGGCGGCGGTTGCGGCGCGGCCGGGCTGCGTGCGGCGCGGCGGCCCTGCTCCGGAGGCGCTGGGCGGGCGGGCGCGCAAGGCAGGCGGCGCGCGCTCCCCGCTCCCACTCCCCGCGCTGCGCGGCACCGCCCTGTGGGCCCGGGAGCGGCGCGCCTGGCGGCGGCGCCCTGCGCAGGCTCCGCAGATGCTGAGCGCGGGAGGCCCCGCGATCCTCCAAAGGATGCGGCGGCGGCGGCTGCGGCGGCGGCGGCGGCGGCGTTGAGCCTTTGTATCCCGCGGTTGGTGCGGTGCGGTGTCTCTCTAGGCGGCCGAATGCCATTCGGTCACGTGTGGTAGGAGGAGAGATTTGTCTAAAAACCCGAGACCGCTCCTAGCTCAGATCCCTGGGAGAGGTCCCAGTTGCCCCAAGATTTACAGCTTACCTAGAAAGACGCTCCTGTGGAATGGTGACACCCGCTTGTTCGCCCAGATCGCAGAATTTGGCCCTAGCTTGTCTGAAATGTTTGCTGAGTGATTGAGAGGCTGCAGGTGCCTGTTGCCTTTATTCAAATTATCGGTTAATTTCATTGTGCTCTTATCAACAAGTGCTACAGGTCCATAAGGAAAAAAAAAAACCGCAACTCCACTAAAAGTATTTGACTACAATTTAAACTGATTTTCTCCCATCCTCCTCACCTTACCCCCCAGCTCTTCAAAAAAAAAAAAAAATTACAAAGTAAACAATGACGTGAGTACAGCCAGGGGCACGTCGTTTCATTATTCATGATCTCTGTAGGAGTAGTATTACCTCAGTACCATTATGAAATGTTTTTGTGAGGCAGCAGGCTTCTCCGATTAGCTTTAGAATGTGGAAAAAATAACATTACCAGAATTTCAAGTTTTGTTTTTCACTGGGAAGAAGGAGCTAAATTTCCTGCCACTTTTGTTTTTTGTTTGTTTGTTTGTTTGAGAGTGAATCAGTCACTTAATACCTCTGTTCAACCTGATTGGCTATTCAGCCTGATTTACAATAGCCCTCTAAATTTACATTTGATTGTTTTAATGAAGTTTGTCCTACCTCCCTACAGTTTCTAGATTTAAAGCTTCAGAGCTTCCTGCGTTTATCCGTACAGAACTAAAAGTCAGGAAATAAAAGCATACTACAGATGTCTTCAGATTTTTTTTTTAGCCTTTTTAAGCCTTTGAGTGTCATTTACATAATACAGGCATACCTTTCTTGACCTAGTAGATGTATATCAAGTGTTGTGTCTGCACCTAGAAAATGAAGTGCCCTATTAAGTAGCTGTACTATTTTTTTTTTTTTTAGCTCTGGTTTCCTTTGACCAGTTTTCTTTTTTTAACAGAAAATTGTGAAGTACTTTGATGTAGTTTACATGACTCAACTCATTGTTTTTGATCGTTGACTGTAAATATGAAAGTCTTTTCTAGGTGCTACCTATAACACAAAAGTTAGTAACACAGCGTTGATGTTAATGGAACAGTTCAGATACACTGATACCTACAATACAGGTGACAATGTCAAGTCTTGTAAGAGTTACACCCAGTACTACAGGGGTTAGATAAGGAGGGAATTATATCTGGTTGGAGAATCAGAAAAAACAAGGGAGATTACATTTGAGATGGACCTTAAAGGACCTTCTGAATTTAGACAGCCAAAGATGAAAGAGGAAAGGATTCCAGATAAAGGGATCATTGTGAGCCAAAGCACACAGGAGGGAAAGCGCAGATTAGTTACAGGGAACTTGAGGACTGGAGAGAGAGAGAGAGCTGGAAAGGTAGAGTAGGGCTGTTTTCAAGGAATTTAAGGAAAAAGTGATAAATTTTGTTAGGCAGTGGTGGATTTGCTTTTGGAAGATTCTCTCCCTTGCTGAGTGAGATGGTTGTAAATCAAGAAACACTGAAGACAGGGAGCCCACTTAGGGGCTTCCTGTCTGGAGAGAGAAGATTAAATCCTGCAGTGCTAGAATCTATGGAATTTGAAGTGTGAGGCAATAGAAAAGAAACAAAAACATGAGGGAGAAAAAAATGTCATGGAATTGTATTTCATGAGCCATTGAACCATTAGGATACTAGAAAGGACAATTGTCAAGAATATAAGCATCATTATATTTTGCCCCTATGCTCCTCAGTTTCTCAGTCTCTAAGCACTAAATGTTTTCTACTCCCTTGATTGTACCAAAGGGACACAAAAGCCCAATCCCAGGATCAACACACACTTGGAAACTTTTTGTCACGCCAGGAGATAGAATTTATTTACATTCTTTTTAACCCACTGGTACAGCCAGCTAGTCCTGAGCCTGAAAAAAGATCAGACAGTTCTCTCAATGTGAACCTTTGGTGGCATAACTTCCATAACCAGAGCTCCCTGTGTGCAGGAGCACTTTCTCCCCAGACCTTGTGGTAGATATTGGAGGAAGAACACTGGCTTTGGAATCAGATCTGGATGCCAGTTAATAGCTGCTTGCTGCTGGGCAATGTGCTACACTCATCTGAGCTTCACCATCTTTTTTTTTTTTTTTTTAGGAATTTATTTATTTGACAGAGAGACAGCGAGAGAGGGAACACAAGCAGGGGGAGTGGGAGAGGGAGAAGCAGGCTTCCTGCCGAGCAGGGAGCCCGATGTGGCTGGATCCCAGGACCCTGGGACCATGACCTGAGCCGAAGGCAGACGCTTAACTACTGAGCCACCCAGGCGCCCCTCACCGTCTTCTTCTTAATGTGGTTATAATATTAAACCACTATTAAAACTATTGTAGAGATTAACTAAAACACACCAGATGTGCTGCCAGGCATTTATTCTGCACCTAAAACATAATGGATATAGATTTTTTTTATGGGGGAGGGGAATAAGATAGTATAGAAAGAAATACCATTGGGCTATCATCAAGAAACCTGGAATTTAGAACTAGCATTAGTTATATTAACCACCTGAATGACCTTGAGTTAACCCCTCACTGATTAGAGACCTCAGTTTCTTTCTCTGTAGCGGTAAAGGGATCTGGTAATCTAAACTTTCCTGTACAGCTCTAGCATTCTGTAATGGTATGAAATGGTTTTATTTTGTTTTGTTTTTCCATTCTGTTTAAAGTCATTTTTAACTTTGCAGGCAAGACTGAAAAGTTAGTTAGCAATTATTAAGGGATAGTAGTCTGAGATTACCACGTGATATTTCATTCGTGATTACCTATACCTTACCTTTTGAAACATGACTCTTAACAGGATGAGAGAAATCCCACTTTTCTAACTTTTCTTAATTTGGGTATATATCATGTGGTTAAGATCAGGATAAAAGACTGCCTGAATTCATATATCAGCTCTGCCATTTATTGGCTATAACCTACCCATAGGATTAAAGGTGTCCATATACAAAATGTTTATAGTCCAGCATTGGACACATGGTAAGTGTTCAGTAAGTATTAGTAGTTGTTATCAGAACAAGGAAGAACATATTCCCCTACAGTCCCAGCATACTGAATGTTTAAACTGTTTTCAATTTACATTTTTCTTTGTCTCGTTGTAGGTGACATAATTGTAATTAGAGTATAGTAAAAAAAAAAAAAAGTGTTATATTATTCTTACTATATTGTAAGCATCTTCTGTGTTCTCTGAAATTATATTTTATCTCTTCTGTAATCAGCACAAAATTCATAATTTTCATAGCCATTCATTGTTTTAATTTTGCTTTTAGATCATTCTTAATATTTCATTATCATAACTAATGTTAATATAATTATAATGCTATAGTGAACATCATTTATATATACTTTTTTCTTTAAGTATTTTCTTAGGCTGAATATCCAAAGGGAGTATTTGAGTCAAAGACTATGAATATTTTTCTGACTGTTGATATGAATTGCCAAATTGCTATCCAAAAGGATGTTAATATTTTACATTGCCACCAACAATGTATGATTACTGTCTGTCTCACAGTGTAGCCAGATTTGGGTGTTTTATATTTAGTAACAGATCTCATTGTTTTCTTTTGCATTTTACTATTAGCAAGCTTTAATATTTGTCCTGATATTTATTGTATCTCCTGTTGTACAAATAGTCTGTATGTACTTTACCCATTTATCTCTTGGTTACTTGATAATTTACTTGTTTGTCTGAGCTCCTTACTTAATTAACCTTAAGTCTTATTTGATTTAAATATTTCTCAATCTACACTTTTCTTTAGATACTATTTTTTAGTTGTAAAGAGAATTTATAGTTTACAGTTCAACTTGTTTTTTTTTTACATTGTGATTTCTTTTTCGCTTCTAAATATAGAATACTAATTACTCTAGATATTTGATAAGTACTACTTTCTCATATAGAATTGGATTAATTTGGAGACTGCCTTTTTAATTCCATATGTCTGTATTTCCCTTTTTACATTATTAACACATATTTGTTTTGCCATAATTTTATTATCTGGCAGAAGTAAATTGATCCTGTTCGATTATATTTAATGGGTGTCTTTAAAGTCTAAATTACATACCTTAAAAACCATGCTCCAGCAATTTTCCCCCTTCTTTCCAGCATGTTTTCCCTCTCTCGTAGATGTTTGTCAGCAAACATGCTGTTATTTCTCCCATTTAACAAAAAATTCTTTCAGCCTACTTTTCTTCTTATTATCCCATTTCTTCCCCCCCCTTTTAAAGTAAAAACTCCTCAAAAGAACAGTCTATATACACTTTCTTCACTTCCTCTCCTTTGAGTCACTCTCGAACCCACATCATGTAGGCTTTGCCACCAACCACTGCACTGAAATTGCCATTTTCTAGGTCAAGAGGTGACCTCC